ATAACTTCAGAGTTTAGATGACAGATTTCAATTTAGTCTTTCCAAAGGGTGGAATTAGAAAGCCTGAATAAAAGTAGGTATCCTATGCAGTATATAAGAAATACTTAATGGATTTGAGATTTATGATGAAAACCTTCAACAGCTCCAGCTAAAAATGTGACAGTCAAAGAAATATATTGCCTCCTATATTTGGCTTTTTCAATAGCTCTTTTTCTCAATCACATAAATGGAGTGGGAGGGGGATGGGTGATATCTTTGCTTTAGCCAAAGTGTGAACCTCTCTCTTCCCACCCCACCATGGCGTGTTTAATGTACTTTGAAAAAAATTCTGCCCGAGTCCATTTTTATATGAGCTGTAAACTTCATTGTAAAAGATATAATACCTCATACTGTAAAATAAGTGGAAGTAATGTTGTGAGGCTTGAAGAAGACTTAAGAGAAAGTTTGCATTAATATACAACTTTTTTACTCCCCCCAGATTTTAATTAAACAATTACTTTTCAATTTTATATGACATTTTACAATATTGACTCTCAAAATGACATACATTATAAAAGAATTTTTTTTTTTAGAAAACAGAAACTTGTTAGGTTGCCTACAAGCTATCTAATAAAAATCCTGTTTCTTTTATTATTAAGTACACTGATTTCGATAGGAATGATGCATATACGTAAAGATTTTTGTTCAGCAAGCAAGTAGATTGCGTTGTTTCTCTCCTCTTCTCCCACTACCTAGAATTATATTCATAAACATTAAATGGTAATGAAAAACACAAGGAATTAGGCATGGCAGATAGTCTGAGAGTTTCCTACTGTAGGATGCTTAGGCTTCCAGGGAAGCAGGGCATAAATAAACATAGAAGGAGGGAATATAAATTGAAGGACACCACAGTTCTCTCAGTTCTATTTTTACTGCCCCAACCAGATTGCCAAAATGCATATGGAAGAGCCACAGTTACAGAGGCCGGAGAAGGCTGGGGTGAAGCCAACCAAGGTCCTCACAACTGAATATCTTTTGCCCCTCCCACTCTTCAGGTACTTATTTGGGAGCTGCCTTGGCCACAAAGATATTGTGGAGTCACATGGGCGCTTGCAACAACTACAAATGATTATCTGAACTTGCCAGCAGGAACCCATGGAGTGGGTTCAAGTGCATACTGGAAATTTTGATTTGCTCAATTAAAGTGGATTAAACCATGCTATTGGCCTGGCACAACAAATCCACTTTTTAAAATGAAAAACAACAACACCCAATCAATAAGCTTTTCGTATTTAAGAAATTAGGAGGCCAACAGATTTAGCCATGGCTGACCTTTTAGGGAAGATATGGCTATTAATGGCTACCAGCCATGGTGACTATATTCTAGCTTTACTGTTGGAGGCTGTATGTCTCTGATTACCAATTGCTGGAAATCACAATTGAGGAGAATGCTGGTGTATTCAGGTCCTGCTTTAGGGCATCCAACTGGGATCTGATTGGCCATTGTGAGAAAAGGATGCTGGACAAGATGGACCATTGGCCTGATGCAGCAGGGCTCTTGTTACATCCTCATAGTGTGACAACTTCCTTTTTAGTTCACTTTCTATTCTAATGGGGGGGAAACCCTTTCCTTTTCTTGCACTGTGTGGCCTCCACTTCACACAGAAAACCCTTGTATTCTGGGTCTGACACAGCATCCTGCTCTGTTCTGAATTGGATGATTGTTATAATCAGCAGCGGCTAAGCTACTGACTTGTACTTAAATCGTGTTTTCCTGGGGAGAATAAAAGAAAGATATCTGGACAATTAGCAAGCAACAAAAACTTTGTCAGCACTGCCTTTGATGAAAAGCAGGTGAAGCAATAGTTGAACAAATTGAATACTCTTGCTATACAGATCAGCAGTTCTGGGTAGAAGTAGCTAATAAACTTAATGGAACACTTAAAATTGCTGAATTGTATCAGAGAACAATTGGCTTGCAGAAGGAAAGGAAAGAAGGCAGTATATTCTCTGACATATTTTTAACTAGCAATGCAGTACTCTCTTCCCTCACTGTTCCCTTATAGACTTTATGAGCTTCATGTGCTGAAAAATAATGGACCCAGATACCCTTTTTTAAGGACAGGTCCTTATGCCAGACCTCCCTTCACCTCATAATAGATTTCCTATATTTCAAATTTTCCCCAGTGATATAGCCTCCCACAGGGATGGATCTTAAGGACAGACTCAGGGCAAGCTTATGCAACCAAGCCAAATTTGGGTTGAGCAAATGCATGCCATATTGAGTACACGGCGAAGCAAGAAGTCATATATCTTGTTGCAACTCAGTTCACATTTTCTATGCCGCTACAGTGGTACCTCAGGTTACATACGCTTCAGGTTACATACGCTTCAGGTTACAGACTCCGCTAACCCAGAAATAGTGCTTCAGGTTAAGAACTTTGCTCCATGATGAGAACAGAAATCGCGTGGTGGTGCAGCGGCAGCGGGAGGCTCCATTAGCTAAAGTGGTGCTTCAGGTTAAGAACAGTTTCAGGTTAAGTACGGACCTCCGGAACGAATTAAGTACTTAACCCGAGGTACCACTGTACTTTTACCCGTGACTTCATAGCGATGTGAAAATGTGGCAGAATTCAGACAACTTCCAAACTATGTGTCAAAGGATCTATGCACATTCCATAATAATACACAAACTGAAGCCTCCCTGGGAAGAGTGATTGATTGTTAAACCACTCTGGGAATGGTACCTCTGTGAGGGGAATAGAGGTCCCCTAATGACTCTTAGGGCCCTTAAAAATGACAGTTCCCAAATTCCTTTAGGGGAAGCCATGGCTGCTTAAAGTGGTATGATATATAGTGGTACCTTGATTCTAGAGTGGCTTAGTCGCCGAACGAATCGGCTACCGAACGCCGCAAACCTGGAAGTAAGCGTTCCGGTTTGCAAACATTTTTAGGAAGCTGAACATCTGACATGGCTTCTGCTAGAGTTCAGGAAACTCCTGCAGCCAATCAGAAGCTGCGTCTTGGTTTTCAAACTGTTTCGGGAGTCAAACGGATTCCCGGAATGGATTAAGTTTGAGAACCAAGGTACCACTGCAGCTTTAAATATAATGTGCACAGCTGTCCTTTGAAATTTGTACTTCTCTGAATTTTATAATGCAGTTTTCCAGCCAAGACAGGAATACAAAAAAATCATAGATTTGGGGAAAAGTTTGCAGAGAAATGCATATATGTGTGAAAATAACATCGGAGGGGAGGAATCGTTGTTTTTTTCTTTGCAAAAGTGGCAGAGGAAATTCTGGGGAGCCTTAAACTTCTCTTCCCCCATGCTGCTCAGCAAGAAGGAAAAGGGGTACCAAGGGTCAGGGAGAGACTAGTGAGCCAGATGCGATGCCCTGTGACCTGGAGGTTCCCCACCTCTGCTGTAGCTGGGTAAGGCTAACAAGACAATAGATATACTGCTGTACAAGTGGTTGTGGAGAAAGGATGTTTCAATACATTCCAGTTCACTTTGCTCTTGGTTTTATTTCTCTTAAATTCTTCCACACACTCAGCAGCATATGATATTTTGGGTGTTATGGTGTTAACTATGTGAATTCCATGTAAAGCAATTAATTTTACAGTTTCACAGTCATGGTGTATGCCACTTCCTTTCCCAACAGCACCTGCTAATAAAGGGTGACATTGTGGAACATTAAACAAGAGTGCTACTGAATTCAGGCAACTGGGGCTCAAAGTGAGTTAAAGCATTTTGCTTCCTTCTCTCCCTCTTTCACTCATCTTAAAAAAAACAGCACTGTTTGATTTTGCTTTAAGTGTAATGACAATCAAACAATTCAATGGCAGAGAAACCTAAGAGCCTTTGAGCCTTGCTTATGTAAGATTCATTGAGGTTAGTGGTGAATTTTTCATCAGGACGTGTAGTTCAGACCTTGGCTCAAACAGCAGCAACTTTACAATCCCTTCACCTAAGAAGAATATGAAAACTATCTATGTGAACAAAGTCAGAAGAGCACAAGGACCCAACTTTATCCAAACTTGGATAAGGTCAGAACTCTTCTGAAAGTCTTCCCAAACAAAAGGATGCTCTCCTATGATATTTAAAACTTGCCTCAGTTCTATGACCTGAAGGGAGTGCTGCATCTACCATGAGATTTGCAAAAGTGGTTGAGATAAAAATCACTTTCTGCCTGCATTTTAGCAGCTGGGTATAGGTAACCATGTTCAAAATGCATGCAGATCATAAGTAGAAGTAGTTCTGTCCAAAAAAACTGCCCCGGTGTCATTGTTTTTACAGTTATCCATTGATAAATGAAAAAAGAAAATACATTTGAAAACTATTTAAAGAGAGATAAAATTCTGGTAAGATTCTCATGGGTGAAAAATGCAGGGTTTTTCTCATGCTTAGTTTTGAAGTGGCTGAGTAAAAAGTAGTTTCATCCCAATGGATTACTCTGCTCTGCAAGATCTTATCAGGAGGTTCCACACAATGTCAGAATTGGGCCTTTAGTGTGGTGATACCTACCCTCACATTATATATGAGGCAGGCCCTGTCTCTATTGTATTTTCACTGTCAGCTGTAGATGTCCCTCTTTCAACATGTCTTCTAATTGGAGATTTTTTATCTCAGTAAATATCTGTAATAGAGCTGAAATTGTATTTATATATGTAATTGGGGTTGGTTTTTTTAAAAAAAAGTTATGGATGCAATTGTTTCACATAGGTTTTTATTGGATTGTCAAGTTGCTCCAAGATGCTTCAAAATACTGATCTTTTCTTCTTTCACTCTGTGAATCTTCTCTCAAGTGGTCTGCACTTTGTATCTCCCCAGAGTGCCCACAATTCAATCAAAGCCCAGGAGAAGACATCATGAGATACCAGCCCATTCAAGGGATTTTATCAGAGCAGATCAGAAGTGCAGGTAGGCAGAGATGCTGAGGTATGCCGAATAAATGTTTAGCTGCCTAGCAACAATAAAGTAAGCTCAGAACCTGTACTGTCTGAAATTCTAAAGGCATTCTCAAGTGCCATGAGAATAAAGCAGGAAAATGTGGAAGCTGCTGTTACAGAGGAAGAAAACTTTTGAGGGCAGACTTTGTTTGACACAGCACTAGTTAGAAGGGCTGTGTGTGGAATTCCTGATATAATAATAATAATTTAATAATAATTTATTATTTATACCCTGCCCATCTGGCTGAGTTTCTCCAGCCACTCTGGTTTGTGGCCCTGATTTGTAAATCTAGATTGGACCTGATTTGGGCCAGACTCAATCTGGACCTAATCCAAGCAAACCCATGTCTGAATCCAAACTGTGATCCATACAATAGAAACCTCTGGAAGTCTCATTGCCTTGTAGTGCTAAACCAAAAACAGCTGTAAATTTATTGCTTTCCCCCCACATGGGGCAATAAACTTTGGAGACATGGGAGCCCCTCTCCCCCCTGCCAAAGTTTAGATAGTACTTCTAGGGGTTTTCATGATAGATACCTTTAAAATTTGCTTTTTCAAAACAAAACAAAACAAAACCACCTTGAGACTGTGAGTTGTCAGTTGTGCCAATTGCCTTTATCCTGTATTTGCCCTTTTATCAAGTTTTTGAAAACATTTGAGGTTGTATTTTTTAAATTAGGCAGAATCCGGCAGGCAGCAATATGAAGATAAGCGCAGGGGAATAATGCAGGTAAGGAGTCTTTTGAGGGGCAGATTGTCAGCAATGAGAGAAAATTAAATATTCATTGGAGTCACAGATGAGACCCTGTCATATAGAGGGTAGGTTGCTAATAATTATATTCACTATGGTTAGTAATTGATGATGATGATAGTAATAAAATGAAAAAAGCTAGGTAATATGCCCACAATGTTTTTGTCTGGCTAGCTTATTATTATTATTATTATACCCCACACATAATAATAAAATAAAATTGTGTAAAGTATGCGATGCAAAAACTGGCTGCTTCGGATTGTCTGTGGTTACCTGTTGGAAATAGTAATGTTAATAATAATAGTAGAATTAATAATTATTACCAATGAGAAGTGAATAAGATTGTGTACCACACAATGAGCTATTGTATTGCTGGCTGGCTGGCGGCTGCTTAGAAATTGGAGAGCATCATCTGAAGAAGAACACCACTATAATAGTATAGTACTGTACTTGTCTGTGTAAATGTACTCACAAGAGAAACTCACAACACAAAGCACTAATAAAAACAGAAACAAAAAACTGAACACAGTGGCAAATCAACCTTACATTAATACTAGAGCTAAAATGGAGGGGGGGTATTAAGACACAGACAAGAAATAAAGTTGAGACTCTATTGGGAAAGAATAGAAAACAAATGCAAGCTGAATATATGTCACCTACACCAACAAACACTTTCTGAGAGACAGAACTTGCAAAAGAGTACTGCAAATTACACACACACACACACACACACACACACACACCACTGCCTCCCCACCCCACCATGTAACAGGATTGGAGAGTGTTGCGTAGTGTGAGAGCATTTTAGGCTAGCTTCCTTAAACAAAGGATGGATATACACTAATGTTTTTTTAACTTTAAGGGTTAAGGAATGGTTTTAATAACCATATGGACACATGACGTCCTACTTGTAACGTTCATTATGCATGATTAAAATGTGACAACAGAGGGCACTGCAAAGCAACCAGGAGACCTTGTTTTGGTGAAGGTAAGTAACACTTTATTTTACAAGTATGGCCTGTGACGTTTCGGAACAATCTATCTAATATCATTCTAATAACATTAAACAGGTCAGTGTGGATCCAGCTAAAGTCCAGCTGCTCCACCCCAAATTATTGTGAGATCATTCTAGCCCTTCTCCAGCTCCCTTCCTCCCGCTTGCCTTGCCATGGAATTCTCCTTTATGGTGTTGGAATTAGCAATGGCAACAATTTGGAGAATGCCTGTCTGGCTTTCTGTAAGACTGTTGTGAACTACAAATTGATATGAATTGGGAAAACTCAACCTGTTCTGTGGTGATTCATAGCTGCTTTAGTCCAATCCAGACAGGGCATAGATCAGCCCATTTTGGTTTAGAGATTTTGACAAATCTGGAACACGACCTTATTAATTGGGGGTATATTTAAATTAAGAATGCATGTCTTAAATCACTGCTTTTTCACAGAAGTACCGTACTCTGGAAAATAGAAAAGAAAAAAGAAGATGGGATTGATGCTTCTTGCTGTAAAAACATTAAAGTGAAGTATTACTGTGTTTTTACATCATTGATGTAAAAACATATATTCATGTATCCATGCTTCATATAATAGCACCAGCACTGAGTCTAGGAAGCATAATAGGAAGTATACTTTAGGACATTTTCCTTACAAATATTGCACAAGCAGATTTTGGATATCCAATACTTTTTTTTGCATTAGGTCAAACCCAATAAGATTTCTGTCAATCTAGCCTCAAAGTTTCTCCGCAGAGAGACTTTGAATTGGCTCTTACTGAGAACCTTTTTGAAACACAAAACTGAAAATTACTATAAAGGTATGAATTCAATTTAATTGGGGGGAAAATAATTAGGTTTGATGCTGGAAAAAAGGGAAATGACAAAAGTGCACCTAATGTCAGACTGCAACTTGCCACTCAGAATTCACCATAAAGGATTCTAAATTACAGCACTTAACGAGCCTCCAGATGGAAGAAGCTTGCTTTTAAAAAATCTCTTGCAATGATCAGAAGAGAGACTTCCCTCCTGTCAGACACCTATGCCTGTGTTCTCACCATATTTTGCAAAGGGCACCATGTCTATGTTCTCAGTGTTTTTTAGATTATGAATGTGGAATTACACAAATTAATTCCAGTGAAGTTATAATGCTGGGAGTGACTCATTTTATATTTGGAGCTAGGCTTACTTTCAGTAAAGTAATGGATGTGGTATGTGAACATCTTTGATCACACATCTGCAATAACAACTGATGCATTAATGTATTCCTTACACTTACTCTTCAGGTATTAACAACATTCATCTTTCACTATGAGAGTTATAAATCCTGACAATCAGGGTAAAATTAGTCATAAATGCAATTTTTTTCTCTTAAGAATTGTGCAAAATTAACTCTTGATTGTGCATTGTTAACCGTTATCAAAAGAGCTGTTCATAAAAAGTTTTCCTTTTATTTTTCAGTGATTATCGATGCAACTTGTGTTGCAGCTGCAGGAGTTGAAACATTTTAAATCTAATTTACTGCAAAGACAGCATTGATGCATTGAGATAAATAAGAAGATTTATTTTCAACATTTATTAGCTTCTACCATTGAGGGAGCCATTGCCCAAATCAGAATTTTAGCTGCAGACTAATAAGCAGAGCATTTAAGAACGACAGTTTTTTGTTTGCAGATCAAGACCGGAGGACAATACAGGAAGAGGTACATTTCACACTGTTGACAAATCCCACTAGTCAAGATCTGGAAAGGGCAGGTGTCAGTCAAACAGGAGACTACTTGTCAGCCATCACTCAAGAGATAGCTGCTGTCTAACCTTTTGAAATATGTTTATATTGTGATGCTTATTTTAAAGAATAAACAGGCTTCAAATATGGACCAATTGGTGGGTAGCAAAGCCACAGAAAATGGCTAGAACAAATCTTGCTTTCAACCTGGCTATGATAACACAAAAATAGTGGCTTGATTTCCCCCGCCCCCATCATCATAATACTGTAGAAGAACAGATAAGCCTCCTGAAATCCTGCTGTGGCTTTGGTTTCATGTCCTCTGTCAGACTTAAATGTTGACTTGGAAAAACATCATTGTTGGCTGCTTGTCACCAGGTCTGCTTCTGTGAAATGCAGGCTGCGATGCTAAACACACTTACTAGAGATTAAGCCTCAATGAAATAAGAAGGGCTTGCTTCTCAGTAAACAAGCTTAGGATCACACTTTAAGTAGTCTGAGGATACTGAACCTGGGTTGGACAGCTGGAGTTTACATAACATTTTTTTTGTGTGATTATAGTATTATAACGAGAAAGGAGAGGGGAGGTGTTAGGGATGTTGGAACAGTAAAGGTAAGGTAATGGTAAAGGACCCCATGGCGATTAAATCCAGTCAAAGGTGACTATGGGGTTGCAGCACTAATCTCGCTTTCAGACCAAGGGAACCGGCGTTTGTTCACTTTCTGGGTCATGCGGCCAGCAGGACTAAACCACTTCTGGTGCAATGGGACACCGTAATGAATGCCAGAGTGCACAGAAACTCCGTTTACCTTCTCGCCGCAGCAGTACCTATTTATCTACTGGCACTGGTGTGCTTTCCAACTGCTAGGTTGACAGGAACTGGGACAGAGCAATGAGAGCTCACACTGTCATGGGGATTTGAACCACCAACTTTCTGATCGGCAAGTCCAAGAGGTTCAGTGGTTTAGACCACAGCGCCACCCGCGTCCAGACACACCAGTACAGACACACCAGCAGGAGTGCTGGATTGGTTCCACAGGTGCTTTTGCACCACACCCACCATCCCACTTCTTTATCCTTCATGCTCTTCTTCCTGGTAAGGAGCAGCAACTCAGCTATTAGGAAGACAGGTGAGCCCTGCTACCCAACCATGCTGCCCACTGCTTCCCATAGCCCCTGTCAGAAGTGGTACAGCCCTTAGAGAACCATGCTATGTGCTTTTGGGGGCGCATTTCAAATTAGTTTAATAATAATTATTATTATTTATGGAATTTATATATCACCCTATACCCACAGGTCTCAGGGTGGTTCATAGAAAAATAATACAAGAAGTAAAACAGTGATCCGCTTCTTGAAATACAATGACTCTGCATCTGCAACTGGCAATATAATTGAACACACTCTTCTGTGAATTAATGATTTAAAGATAAAAGAACAAATTGGCTGGCTTGAGCTTGAGTCTGAAAGTGCTAAGTAACAGTGATCACACTTTCTTTGCACTTCTCAGTTCTGTGAATATGGGGTGTTAGCAGCAGTTAGATCAGCTGAAGACAAACACAGCAAGCCTAAATTAAGCCAAATAAATGTAGACTTTAAAGGCACCATGCATTAAAAAGATTTATACCCTGCCTTTCAAGTGAATGATCCACAAGGCAGCTTACAATAAACATTAAGGACTTGAAGAGTGCATTAGACTCCGGTATCTATTATATCTTGGAGATGGTGGTTATCTATTGTTAGAAACAAAGCTGTAGAAAAGATCCCAAAGATGGTTTACTTATTTAGTTAAATTGATATTCTGCCCTTCCACCAAGTGGTGCACAAGATGGCTGACATGAATAAAAGTAAAAGACTATATAACAATCAAATCAACCATAAAAACAGCACATTAACATCTGAAACCAATAAAAAGAGTGTCCTGTTTAATAAATTACAACACTTGCAGTGACCATATCAGGGCTAATGCCTATCAGAATAAAAATATTTCTAGTCAGTGGAAGGTCGCCAGAGAGGGGACTGGCCTGGCTTGGTTCTAAAGCACGAGAACGGCCGCTGAGAAGAATCTCTTGAGTTCTAAACATGTTTTAGATGCTGGTGGACAGAGAGGCAGGTCCGAAGATCTCAAAACCTGGGCAGGCTCAAATGGGATAATGTGGTCTTTTAGATGACCTGGTCCCAAGACCTCTTTATGTCATAGACAGCACTTTGAATTGTTCCCAGAAACAGGCTGATAGGCAGTAAAGCTGTTGGGACATTGGCACAACTTACTTTGTAGAACCAGCCTTGGTCAATTAGAGTCCCAAGTCTGACCAATTAGGCACTCCTTGGAGTCAGTTGGGTCTGGGCAGTATGTTTTCTTGGGCACCTTCATGACTTAGGAGACAGGAGTCAGAGCCCACTCAGCTTGTGACTTGTCAACAGGTGCCACCTCTGAGGGTGAAGGCTTACTAAGAGGAAGAGACACAGGAGGCAGGGGTGTGATCCTTCCCTGAAAACCTGCTTGGTCCCTCTCTGGGATTCAGCTCCTTACTCTCCAGCCTGCTGTCTTCTCCATCTGGCTCCAGTTTTCCCTTCCTTGAGCCTGCTGTGGCACTCCAAATCTTGTTGGACTCTATATTCAATCTTTCATGCCCTTTGGCCATGCTGGCTGAGGCTGATGTGAGTTTGAGTCAACAACCTGTGGCGTGCCACAGGTTTCCCATCCCTAATCTAGGCAGACCATTGACATGAGAGAACTTTGTGAGTAAGGCAGGTCTTTAAATTCTGTGTCAGCTTCATTTTTCTGATAAGCTGTAAGGAAATGTTCCACGGGCATTAAAGAGTAAAATCTCTTAGCAGAAACTAGCAATTGCTTTGTTAAATATCCAGTTTCTACACTTGACAAATCTGCATTCAGAACCCTTCTTAAAGAACCTGTCACACATGGATTTACTGAATTGTGTTTGGTCTCTGGATAGGCAGTGATTTGGAATACTGCCCCCCCCCCCCCATGATAAGGTCATTAAAGCCTAATTAATAGCAAATGTACAGATGTAATTGAAGCTTTGTTAAATAATGAAATGGGAAAATGGGGTACTGCAAAAAACTTCTGTCTCCACACTCTCACCCTTCTGCATACACTTTTAATGCCCTGATCAATCAGTCAGTGTTTGGTATTAAATTGTTGCCTTAATTGTTACACAGTAGTGTACTTCTGTGGTTTTAATAACCTCAGAAAATCCATTAACTTGTTACCACTTTTCTGAGAAATGCATGTAGCTTTAATTAAACAAATATTTCATTTTCCAGAGCCTTATCCAGTGAGCACACAGTTCATAATGATGATTAGCTTTAATTAGTTTAAGAATGATTTCTGCATTGAGAACTACCTACCTTTGGAGATTTCCCATTGCTCATTTATTTTTGCATCCTTGTTATCGCAGAAAAGGAAAATCTAAAAGGCAAGAAAACATTGCCCCCCCCCCTTTTCCAGTTTGTGTATACTTCCCTCCATATACTCCAATACAATCAGTTTTGTTTAAAGCCAGTTCAGTTCAGGATGCCTCAACAGGCAAACAAAGATTGAGTTTGTCTCTCCCATAGTGACAATCATAAATCTCTGAAGTGACAGAAAAGGTTTGGTGTGTTGCTTAAATATTTATGGCGGGGATTAGGTTAACGTTCCAGCATGTTTTTTCTTCCTCCTCTTCTTTGTATTGCCTTGAGTGTTTTTATTGATCTTTTCCCAGGCCTAACTGTTGTTTTGGGACTGGGTAGTCAAAAGTGAGTGTTTTGAATTGTAGTTAGATGCCAAAATTCCAAAAGATACATACTCAAGAGGCAGCAAGCTGGAAGGAACAATCCTAAAATAGCTTTATAGAATGACTGAGCATGATGAACTAATAATAAAGGTGAAGCAAATCATCCAATGCATCTTCTAATTCTTCACAGAATGTATGTGAATTGCTATCAAAAGAAACAAACAGCACTCTATATTCCGATTATCACTGTTTACCAGGGGAAGTCTCTCTTTCTCAGTAACTAGTAAATCACTTATTTTGCCTTTTGCAGAGATTTGGGGGACATCTTTTAAAAATTATGTCAGGGTGTACACACATACATTGTGGTTATAATTCTTTAAGGAGGTAGGGAACTAGTTCACTGAAGACAGTCCTCTCTTTAAAGGCACCCTCTGTTGAAGGGCTTTCCAGTCTAAATCTAGTGAAAGATAAAGAACCACCAGAAAGGAAAACAGGAATCCTTGAAGTTGCCCATCAACAGTTAAGACCAATAAGAGAGCAGACTGCCAGCTAGCCACTTGGGTGCCTGGGGTGGCACATGCACCCTGCATCTGGGGGCAGGGTGAGCTGCCCATGGGGCAAGCCGAGCTGGAGCAGGGCGTGCTACATAGAGCCTTCAAGGTGTCTGCCCACAACCTCCCTCTCAGCCACCCTACAGCTTAGGGGGAGGCAGCAGGCAGATGCCAGACCCAGGCTGTTCAAGAGACAGAGAGAGGCGGGGTGGGAGGGGAGATTGAAGTACCTTGATGACCTTCCTTCACTACACGCCTCATGCTGGTAGACCCCTTGCGTGGAATGGATGGCATCACTTCAAAGTGCAGGTGGGATATACCATTTTTCATCTAGTCTCTGTGTTAACGTTTTTAAAATCCCTAAAGATAAAATCCAGTGCAACAAGGAAAGAGGTGGGGGAGGGCGTGGACAACTTATCTCCCTGAAGTGCTTAAAAATAAATAAATCCCAGTAGCATCTTTGGCATTTTTGTAAACTTGGTTTGACTGCAAAATTCAGAGAAGTGCGAATTTTGAAGCATAGCTTTTTTTCAGTTCACCTGCTGTTTTGAAACGAGTAAATTGCATTTAAATGTGAACTGTAAGCGAGTATAGAATTGCAGCCCTGATCCAATGTAGGCGGGTATAGGATTGAAGCCATATTCTGAGGTAAAGTATTTTATGTCTAAATGTGGTGCTGCCAAATGTAGTAGTAATAATAGTTTGCTTATTATAAAGCAATAAGCCTTCACAAGTGCTGCCAGATGCCTAATACTGAACATAATCTGTAGCTACTTTCCAATAAGAAACTCCATTATTGGGAACCAGGCTGTGCCTGAGACAACCTGCCTCTTATCAGCTTCAGACC